TCTTAAAGAGTAAACGGTTTATTTCTAGTATACTTTTATTGAAAATGATGGCAACTTGAAGATTGTGTATCTTTCATTCTAGATCAGCAAAAACTAATTTTTTTTCAATGTTTTTGTAGCAAATTTGAAGAAATTTACCCCCCAGAAGTTGGTGAATTTGTGTACATCACTGACGATACCTATACTAAGAAACAAGTACTACGCATGGAGCACCTAGTGTTGAAGGTCTTATCATTCGATCTTGCTATTCCTACCATAAATGTGTTCCTTGATAGGTTCTTAAGGGCTGCAGAGGCTGACAGTAAAGCAGAATGTATGGCCAGAGTAAGTGTTTAAACAGGACCTCGCTATCCGAATAGTTGGTCCCAATTAATACGACCCAATACATTCAATGCACTTTAGTGGGAGTTAAAAACTTTTCTGCCTTTATTGAGAGCCTAAATAACGCGTGTACATGCTTAACATCACTATTTTATATGCTTATTTTTTTTAATTGCCTGATTTTACTTTTTTTTCCTCAGTTTTTGGCTGAACTAACACTTCAAGAGTATGAACCTTACATTAGGTATTCTCAATCTACCATCGCAGCATCTGCCGTTTGTTTAGCAAATCATACACTTCATCCCAACCAACAACCATGGGTAAGTACTTGTGTTTTTGATACAGCAATCGAAGTTTTTAATTTTATAGTAAATGTATATTGCCAAAGTAAATCCTGTTGGTCCTTGTACTAATTTTGTATTTGGTTGGTTACAGACTGCTACATTAGAACACTATACTAGCTTTACCTTTCAAGACATCCTGCCATGCGTTAGAGATCTACACCATACATTTGTCAACTCTGTGAATAACCAACAGCAAGCAGTTAGAGAGAAATACAAGACTCAAAAGTAAGTAATCTATCAGTCCAACAATGGGTAATTAAATTGCCCCAATTTAAAGTTCACAATTCTTCAACCCAACTCCAGCAGTTTTTCAGTATAACAAATGTGATTTATTTTCTCATTTCAGACTTCATCAAGTATCATTGATCCCTGCTCCACCAACGATACCATCTCTATAACTAGCAACGTAAAACTTGTTAGTTCCATTGCAAGTTGATGGGACGCGTAGCTGTAGATCATCCAATCATGTCTGCATTAACCAATCCTGTAGATAGAAAAAAAATTTGAGTAAATTTGAAAATAGATGATAGTGTAGTTTTAAGTACAGGATGCAATCAGCATGCCTTGTTGTAATCATGCTTTGTGCAATGCTATAATTATTCCTAAAGTTCAAGGTTCGTTCTGACAACATTATCTAATGAATTTAGACAAGGCCATGACTTGAACTTGCTTTATGGCATTTTTTAAAGATTTTAGTTCCAGTAATTACATGTTTTTAATTGTATATCTTTTTATCTGTGTAATTTAGTTTTATATGTAAATATCTTTTTTGTCAGTGACAACTTATTAAATATTTTACAATAATGCACTTTTCTTCAGTCTTATTTTAATGCATGTCTTTATTTTGGAGATAGTTGGACCTTTTTAAACCCCCCCCCCCCAAACGAACAACTAATAGTTGCATCACTGAACAATAGGTTTTTCAGAGCACGACTTGGCTACTTGGTCTTCCTGCTGTCCTAAACTGCTTAGTATGCAATCTCCAGCCCCACACACGCACTATGCAACTTTTTGCATCTAGTGACAATTTGTAAATGGCAGTTCTCTCGACAAATTGTCCCCTTGTGTATATTGTTTTATTCTTGCATCCCAGTTCCCAAACAATATTAAAATTTCACTATTTTGTGAAGATTCATTTTTCTCAAATTTCTGCCACTCCTAAATGTTGAATGATCAATGTTAATAAATATAACATGATCTTCTTGCACACATCAAGATTAATTTGATAAAATGTACATTCTAGGCCTTTTAATAAAATTTAATCTGCAGCATTGAACAATATTAAAACTGCCCTTTATCCACAGCCTTTTTAATCACAAACTAATTCCATTTAGTCTGCATTTTTGAATATTGGGACAAACTAGCCAAATCTTGAGTAAAAACTAAATTGTCTCATCTCCAAAATTAGGGTAAATTCCCAAAAATATTGAAAGTCTGGTGGTGAAAAGTTGCTTAATATTTTCTCCAAATGGATATGCAAGAATTGACATGTAAAGACATGTTCCATCATTAAACCTTTTGTAACTTTAATAAGGTTTGACACACATGAATAATTAACTATCCTAAAGGACCACTAGTTTATGGATTTTGGTAGTCCTTTCTAAAAGTTGGTCAAAAAAAAGATTTTATTTGGTGTGCTGGTGACTGCAGTAAAATTCCTCTCATTCGAGTGCTGAAAACAAAACTCATTCACAATTATCCCTCAAAGATTGCACAGTAAAGTACCCCCCTTTAAACCGTTGACTTCGATTTTATTTTTCAAAATATAGTTCCAAAGACATTGTTTCATTTCTTGTAATTTGAAAAGATTTGTTGCCAATAGGCAGTGTTTTACTTTCCCCCATAGTTCCTTGTATCATCAACTTTGTGAACCAAATCTGTTTTATAAAAAGTAAAGACATTTAAAGGAATTCAATTTTATTCACAACGTAGATGAATTAGATAAGCAACTTTTCATGAATATGGTCAATAAATTTTGGTAGAATTTTTTTTTTTTAAATTTATGGGAATTATGTAGAAAAGTTTGGCTGTTTTTTTCTGTAAATTGTTTATGGAATATGGATAGGCATTAAATAGAATTATTCAGTTTTGGCCTCTGTTCGTTTCCATGGAAATTGTATTAACTGGTATATTTATATAGAAATGCAGTAATATCAACTTTTCAGAGAAATGTTATTTCATTTAGACGTCTGCAAATTCTGGTTGTCCAATACAGCCATCTATTGTTTTTGATACGAGTCGGGAAGCCCACACATGACTTTATCTTACGAAGTTCTTCAGGTCTCGTCACAATGATCCCCTCTCCCCTTTTTAATTACTGTTTGATTTTGCCTGTCCCCTCGATGAATATACGGCTACAAATGTTTACTCACGTGACATATCACGTGTTTGGTGACCTTTGACCTTATATGCGATTTTGAAAGGATCAGCGGCGAATTTAGAGGAAAGAAGGTTTTTTACCATCTGTTATTGTGTATCTGAATATTGCCCTCGTGAAACCTGGTCATAAAGAGTATGAATTAATCCGGAACACGGTGGGGGCGTTGACTAAACGGTAAGTGCAACGTGTCTTTGTTTTGGAAGACCGTATTTTCTGACTTTGTGACATTGCTATGGATAAACACTACACCGGTAGTTGCACATCTTATATTGAGAGGGATCTACGGTACATTCATTGAGGATGTATATAATTTTTATGCGAAATTATATGATGGATGGATCATTATTTGTTTTTGCATGATTGGTTATCTGGGTACATCAAAAAACTTGTTATGTTTTTGTTGCTAATGACGTTGATATCCAATCAAGCCTATATCATGTACTACACTCTCTGGCCCACTTATCAGACATTTATGTGAAATTCACAAATTATATGATTCCATAGATCCATAAATCCATGTATGGAAAATTCTTTCCAATATATTCCCATTCCTAACTGTAACCCTAACCCTCAGCTTTTAATTCAGAGGCGGCGACACCAAATTATGCATGAAGGGGCGAGATCTGCTCCACGAGTTCATTTGTCCATGGAGGTAAAAAGAGAAGGAGTCACAGCCAAAATAATCCTCCTTAACTTCTTTTGTTTTAGCCAAGTTTAAACCCATTTAATCTCTTTTCACCTCCATGATTTGTCCAAGGGTTCATTAGTCTTAGGGTTCATTAGTCAGTATATTTTTTTATTCCAAGAAAATCATCAGACTATTTTAGAAGTTAGCTTGTTTTTATGTGTTTATTTTTCGTGCGTTTGTTAGCTAAATTAGTAAAATATTATTGCCCTAATAATGTGACCAAGCTGAATATGACCGTGGGGAGATAACACTGGATGAGTTGTGGAATGCTATGAGATACCATAATGCTACATTCATTTAAAATTTTGCTTATATTAAACTAGATGGTATGACATAGTTTTGCAAAGATAAACCACATAACCGACTCCACAGTGAGAGCAGTTCAGTTCAAGTTGGGAAATGTCTAAGTTAACGCATCAAACTATGGCCACTTTTGCCCAAACTTCAAATCAAAGTTTACTGAGTACTTTGCACAATTTTGAATTAGTTATATCATAGAGATGCTGTTATAGAGTAATATACTGTACTGGCAAATTGTTTATAATTATTGCGGTGCATTTTTCCTTCAACTTATTAATGCATCCAATCGTGGGTAGGCGCATTCGCCATAGAACTGAGTGTGAGTTTGAATCTCACATTTGAATGTTTCTTTGTTTGTTGGGTATGTTTCTCGCACCTGGTTATATATGTGTTTTTTTCAGCACAGGCTCAAACATTCTGAAAATGGGCATGAGCAACCTTAAGCCACACGTAGACCATTTATCACACCAAAACTGGCACGGTATCATTAAAACTCGCATAAAGTTTCAGACTTATTGTGCACAAAATCTCGTATCTAACAAGGAAGAAATATTAATTTGGGGTATATACAAACTAAACACACTAAAAATACTCGAACCCACCCAAAAATTGCATTAGAAGTGACTGAATCGATATGGCAATTTTTTGCCATTGCGTTTTTTTTTTTGCTTTTTGTTGGGTGTAATGATAATCACATTACACAATACTGTATTACGTCATTTGAGAAGTTAATTAGAAAATTAATTAACATAAAGTACTTAGATTATTTAACCCTTGGACAAATGAACCCTCGGAATATTAACCTGTAACCTGCTCACCATCCCTCGTGCCAAAGGAGCAATCTTACTATGGGGTCAGGGGTCAGCATTTTAAGGAGCAAATTTTGCTGACACAAGGGGTTTCAGCTTGATTGGGGGGACATTTTTTTCGAGGAGGACGACTTGCCTCAAATAGGAGTAGAGGTAGAAAGTTATCCCATGTAGGTCCATAATCATTCAAAACCACTCATTTGAATTAGAAAGAATGTTCCACTTGCATCATTTGCTTAATATTGTCGAAATTGATTTTTACTGGCGGTCTATATATATATTTACATTCCTATGTTTGTGTGATTTTACTAGTGAGGGATTTGTTGAGTCACATGACTTGGAACTATTTATCACATGATTGCTATATTGAAGGTTCTATGGTATGTTCCTTACCATACAAAAACCCTCTGAAGGTTTTTAGTAGTGTAATAAAGTTATTATTATTATTATTTTATGTAAACAATGTTGTTTATTTATGTTTTGTTTTATTTATTTATTGACACAATACTGACTTTGGAGAGAACAGCAGTAGGGTTGCTAAAAAACAAAACATTTAACAAAATATCACCAACCATGTCTTGTACAAATAATATTTCCCAGAAATGCCCAGATGTCAAAAATTGTTTTTCTTTATTTTTTTCATATCCATTATGCTTTGTTTTTTGATCGCGGACATTTCGTCTGGTTGCTGCATGCTAATTGAGCGGGGAAGATTAGTCAAGGTCAAGTTTTTTTTCTAATAATGTATGGTTTGACTATTTAAACATTTAAGAAAATATTGAGCAAAATAGTTAGTTCATTAGTTATATATTCATTTTATTAGATGCTGAATTCTGAATAAGGCCAAAAAAACAAACAAACTTACCAGTATGTTGCCTTCAAGTTGGAAAATTGAAAAATAGGGTCACTCGGTCGGTCAGATTTTCAGATACTCGTGAAAACCAAGGGTATCATAAATAGTGGAGGGGGTATATGGACTTCATAGTATTCAGAACATGTCAGAGAAATACAGATCAACCCGACTTTCAAAGTCGCCACTTATCCCCTGGGGACCCTGGGGATCAAACAACAGTCTGGGATCGTTAATTGTTAGAGGAAACACTTTTTTACTATTTTACTATATTTTAATATTTGGGCCTATTAAAAAAACAAACCGCGACCTGATATTTAATATTTTTCAAATTCTCCATCAGACCTGGAGCACTGTGCGTTATTGAACACCAACATTATCGTTCTACTGTCACCGCCATATTGTTCCAAACACCAAAAACAGTAACATTGAGGTCATAACATGTTTGGAACAAGTTGGATCAAACCAACTTCAACAGGAGACATCAAAGTAATAGTGGGGACTCGGATACATTGAATATAAAAACATGATGCAATGTATTTCATTCAATTGTATAAATTTATCAAGTTATTATCACAATCACTGGGAGTAATATCTTGAACATATAACCTACAGAATAGTGAAAAATAACCAGAATTGACATTCTGTGCATTATGTTACATGTGTCAGTTCAAAAACATGAAATTGATTGGTGTGTGATACAGCATACTGTACATACATGTACATCAACTCATCCATTAAATGCAAATAAACATAATTTTTTCCATATTTTTTTTTTTAC